TGTAATCAAAATAAACCATCAGTAAGGCTAGACATTTATTATCCCTTGTTTCATGAACCGCCGCATGAACAGGAGCCGAAAATTAAATAAAAATAAAATTTTATTTCAGCGTAATTTCTCGCGCCCGCCGACTTGTAAGCGCAAAAAATTGCTCAACAAATATTTATCTTTATTTATTTACCGCCCGCCGCATAACAAACCCAAGTTGCATTTTCGTGGGAGTATCATGATCAAAGTACCGAAGTCTCGCGCAGATGAGAAACAAGGTTATACATGGAATAAAATTTTATTTCATTTCTTCTCTCCGATCAATGATCTCACTTACAATTCTTTGAGAATCACACAAATCTAATGAGAAAAAAAAGGATTAATTTTATTTTTTTTCGCCCTCCTCAAAAAAATTGTCTTATAAAAACTCGAGAAACAGGAAATAAAAAAAAGTCTGGCCTAAATAACAATATTGTATGAGATGAGAAATGTCAGGTAACTTCACATGACAACTCATCTTATTGGGTGACGTGTCCTGTTAGGTGACTTAAACCAATGGTGATTTGTCCGTTCAGATAATTTCTTACCCAGCTGCTAATAACTCCATAGTATGTGTAACTTTATTCATACCATATCCTGTGAACCGTTCATCGTACATCGGTGTACGGTCAGTCTTTCTGTTAAGAGAAGACATATGATTGCGACATTAGTCAACAAATAATGTACTTTGATTCATGGGTAATATTCAATACGCCACCGTTGTGTAACAAACAACGTATTTTACGCATGTTGTGTACAACTGTCACAAACTGGCACAGATGAACACTCTAATTTGCATATGAAGCACTTCTGTGTAATACAAAAGATGAATGATGAATTGCTATTATAATATGACGATCGTCAAATCTTTGTTCAAACAATGAATATGTGGCATATGTTGATGCTGGGTTTAAATTTGTTGCTCCACCACTACTACCGTACTCGACCACGTTAGCACCCAGGGTTCTCAACCCAGAAAATCGTGATTTTTTTTTCCCAGCATATTATGTCGTTGAAGGAAAATAAAATTACGAAATAAGTTTTACAATGAAGAGACAGAAATGGTCACAACAAATATACAAATTTTATTACGAGATTAAAAATATTAGAGTCTGTTGGCAGTCGAATTGAGCTAAAGTAGGGAGTGGGCGCTTGATCGGGCATGGGTGTCAACACGGTATTTGGACAGTCAGTTTGCAAGATGGCTTGCAGCTTTGCAAAGCTTTGTTCAGGACTTGTCTAGTATGATGATGGAATGATCTAAAATATACACGTGTCACAATCAAGTCTAAACTAGCTGGACAAAAAAACAAATTATTTTGCAAAGCTACAATCCATTTTGCTTACTGACTTTCCGAATTATTCTCAGAATGGCTGTAAATTAGGCAGAAGGTTTTCAACCCGCCTATTCACATAATTCATACCCACCATAGACTCCGGTCAGTCAAAATGACTATTTTAAACTATAGGCATTAATCTGCGATTCAGCCAACAACGGAGAGAGAAATCTAGGTCAGGGGAAGCCCCATGACCTCATAGATTTTCTTCCATTTTCGACGCCATCTTGCCTAATGATCATTTCTGTTTTTTTCTTCGTAAACGAATTTATATTAAAATTACTGAGAATTGTTACACTCCTGTTTCTATTTATCAACACTTACTTTAAAATAAAATATGGTTCATACTTGTCTTGGTACGTTGTTACTTTGTACGGTTCATTCGCTGTATACCATTTATGATAATCGGTTGCACGATGAGACTCCGGCGAGTCTACAAAACGTGATATCTAAGCTAAGGAAAAATTGTTGTGCAGACAATATGTACGAGTCTGAAAAACATTAACACAGGAATCTCTTCATCAATGTCAACAAAAATGCTGACACAGTTTTTATATTCAGTTGCCATGGCCACCCACAATGCATTGCATTGAAAATATGCATGAGTCTAAATAACATTAACACAGGAATCTCTTCATCAATGTCAACAAAAATGCTGACACAGTTTTGATATTCAGTTGCCATGACCACCCACAATGCATTGCATTGAAAATATGCAGGAGTCTTAAGAACATTAACACAGGAATCTCTTCATCAATGTCAACAAAAATGCTGACACAGTTTTTATATTCAGTTGCCATGGCCACCCACAATGCATTGCATTGAAAATATGCATGAGTCTGATAACATTAACACAGGAATCTCATCAGTGTCAACAAAAAATGCTGATATAGATTCGATATTCAGACATCATTACCATAATGTACTGCAAACAATTAGTCTCTGTAATGATTTGGGAACCTAAGAACATCTATATAAATCAGGAACATGAATATTCATAAAAGAATATCAATATTCAAGTGTAAACATGTACAATAACATGAATATTCATAAAAGAATATCAATATTCAAGTGTAAACATGTACAATAACATGAATATTCATGAAAGAATATCAATATTCAAGTGTAAACATGTACAATAACATGAATATTCATTATTGCTTGATTGATGGAACAAAGGAAAATGGATATCATGTAAATCGTTCAAATTGTTTAGAAAAAGCTGTGCACACAAGATACAAATAAACAAATATTGAACATAAAATTCCTTAACTACATCCCCCTGTACGGCAGGTGAGCTGAACAATAAAGGATATGAAATGGTAGAACATTTGGCACGTTGCCAAATATTTGACTGTGAAGTTCATCTTTTGTTTCTGGTATATGTGGAAGTTCCTAATATAAAAAAAGTAAAATTATGATAAATACAACTCAGAATGTTATTTTTAATCATATAAATATGATTTGAACATAAAATAATTAAAAATAACAAAATCATACAAATACAATACATGTATGTAAATGAGTTAGGTATTGAGTAATATCAAAATATCGCCACTGGTGGCGTACTCATACTCATGAAACCTGTACTCAGCCATAGATGTCCAAATTTGTGCTTCTTTTATTTTTATTTTATTTTTTTATTTGAAAGTTTATTTGAACTAGTTATGAAAATACCATCTTTTAAGTAGATCTATGTTTGAATACACAAAAGTGATTTGTAATTCAAGATATGGCTGCCATCGTTAAGTGACAGTTAACTATAGCAGTTACTGTATTTTAATTTGATTTGAGTTCGCTTCTTGTTTAAATGTTATCGCTTGGTGTGACTTGCGAGTTGTGATAACAATTAGTAACAATATAACCGCATCCAATTAAATATTCCTAATTCACAAATGTCTGTTGAGTTCTCGCTGAGAGTGAGAGTGAGAGTGAGAGAGACATATGACTTTTGACCCATCTACCCCAATATTGTTCCCGATCACTGTCCCAAATACCATGATTATCATGATCAGGGGAACGGTGGATGGAATATTGCATTTCGAGTTGAGAAAGGGGATCTCAATGGGACCATTTACAAATTATAAAAGTAAACAGAAAAAAGGATTAATCAGTCCAAGATATACATGTGACCCATTACAAGTAGGTCTCTTGGGAGTAAAAATTCAGTCTAAGAAATACCTACCTCTAGTCCCTCCATGAATTCAAATGCTGGAACAATGAATGCAGTCTGATCGTTATTCCATGTTTTTATGTGAGCTGTAAATTTGTCTCTGAGTTTTGACGATGGTATAAAATCTGCATCAAGTAATAACATGTAGGATGTTCTACTATTTCTGTAATGACAATAAAAATAGTTGATGTTATCAGCTTTTGATGCCTTTGCCAACTCATCGCCTCCAAAAAAACAGAAATGTGTTCCGTATGTACATATACATCATTACTCTTTCAATTATTTGAAATTTTTGTGTGTAAATTATACATTCTGTGTGCATATTAAATCAGGTAATTTGCATATCATCAACACTTTCCCTGCCATTTTCAACTTTTGTCACCTTCCACAAGTTGTTCAATGTTCTGTTTATGCACATTAATTAAATATTTAAACATTTCTCATGATCAATGTGGTCTTTTCAGCATCATCACATCACCATAGTCATATATCTTCTCTCTATTTTATATACTACTTACTTTATTGCTAAATTTCTTAAGTAATTAATTGGATATACATCATATACCTGAAAAACGGAAGACACATTTATTAAATTTAATATCAAACACAATAGAATACATGTTTCATTTGTTCACAATATTTGATTCCTTCAAAAGCATTTCTTTTGATGATCAATATTTTCTTTATTTGGGGTAAACTACCAACAACCATAAGGTTATCACGAGAATACAGCAATTTATGCATGAAGGCAGTACAGTGATCTATTGACCGACACTTAGAAGAGGTGGGTACGACCTGTACTGCCTGAGTGAATACTTTCTGGCATTCTTGTGATAACCTTATTATCATATATCTTTTTCTTGCTTTTAGCAAGAATTCATTGTGAGATGACAATGAAAAATATTCTGTGTTATATGTGTGAGACGGGATTCAATTTCCATTGCGTGCTATAAAGCTTCTGTTTAAAATGTAAACAAAGAAAAGTTTTCAAATTTGAAAAGAATAAGTCAGAACGTGTCAATGTTGGTGACATAGTTCATTACACATAAGGGAAAAATCTAATGCTCAAATGAATGCTGATATTACTTTTTACGGAACAGCAAATTCTAATTGTTTTCTGTTCTACAATGTAGGAATTACCGTAATTAATATTTAAACCATTAAATGATGGAATGATCTAATATATTTTTATTTATCATTAAACACAGTGTCAATATAACTGGTCCAGTAAATAGAATCCTGACACTCGATGCAAATTATTACACGAACACAAATCCCAAATTTAAGCTGTTAATTATCACTAAGTTATGACTATAAGTAAAAGTAAGTAAAATACTAATGTTATTATTAGAATAGTACCAATACAACACAGTATGCAATCTAGAGTGCATTTGCGCCAAGTGACAGTAGAGATCTGTAGCAATGCAAGGCTACCCTGAGGAAGTAGTTTCATGTGATTGTATTGTCAGTTACTGTGAAAATTTTAAAAATATACCCAGTTGCATTGTATGTTTAAAAAAATTGTTTTATACCCATCAATTTCGTCATTTTACCAAAACTTCCCAGGCACTGCGAGCAGGGGCGGTGAAAACTGCCTGAGGCATCCCAGTTGTGACGTCGCTTAGCAGTTGAGTAAAAACTGGACAGACTCGTGGCTTCCCGTGGCTCCCTGAGGCTGCAATGTGAAAGCACTCCTGATGTGTGTCATAGTTTGTGATAATCTCGTAATAACATTATAATAAAATGAACAAATGATGGTATCTTACCGTATTTGCATAAACTGCTGTAATTACAGTGTGTGGTGAAAACTGAGCGGTTTTTAATTTCTTCTGTATATATAAACTGAAATTAAGAAAACAATTAAATTAAATTAATCAAATATTCATTTGACATAGTGTTTGCAGCAAGAATATACAATATAATATATATGGTGAAATTGAAAATGATGTGGTGAAATTGGTGAAATTGGTGAAATATGGTGAAATTGAAGTGTTATGATAGCGACTTCACGTTCGCACATTCGGTTCACACGTCGTTAGATTATTGTCACGCCTTAGAGATTTCACTTTTAATATAGAGGTTGTAAACTTTTGTAAGGGATTTAGAGAGAACGAGAGAACAGTACAGCGAGGGGTCACCTCGGCTGACTGCTTGTGTGAATAAAGCTGGACTGTCTGTAATGAACTTGTGTATTCATTTGGGTCGAATCTGGTACCTCTACGTGTAAGTGACATCAGCCAATCGAGATGAAGTTCCCTGATCCCCGAACACAACGCCAGTGTTCATGACAGAAGGGTCAAAGTTCACAATGTGGTAAAGGGTGGCAGTTGAGATGATGAACATTACAGAACATTTCCTTACCGTTTCCATTCATGATCGGTGTCCAAAGTTTCCGATTTTGTCGGTACGTAGAGAACAATAGACATTGGTCCGTCCCATGATGCAACAATTTTATTTAAAGTGTCAATTCTATCCATTGAAATTTGTGTTACCATGGTTATATCATCTTTGTCCTGTGAAGGGAGTTATTTTTGCTTTATATTTTAACAATATGTTGTATGTAATTTTATAATAAAATTTGAGCAAGTAAACCAGCTGTACGGGTCTCCAGTTAGCTGCATGGTTACTAAACGCCTCTCATAAAAATAAGATCTGTTTCTTACCATGGCTGCACCAGAGTTCAGTACTGTTTCAGTGACAAAATTATGTTCAATTTCACTACTACTTGACAAAGGAGGACACGCTGGGACGTAATTTCTTCTCTGGAAACCATTTTTGAAAAAAGTATCTGAAGAAAAAAAGTATGAATAAATATCATGACAATTAGTGCTTCATTTTTTAATAGTCTGTGAAAGGTGGGAAAACACTAAACAGCCTAAAGAAAATATGTTGTCATGTCAACTGTAATTCAAATCTGAAATAAGAGCAATGAAAATAACTGAAAGACTTACCTGCCACGATTGGACGAACTACGACTGCTAAAAATTTAACGATGCCAGTGTAGCCATAGCAACCAAGCATCACAGTAATACTGACTGGCTGTTTATTCTCAGAAAACATCTGAAAACAAAAAGATGCATCATGGTTATATTACAATGCAGTGTGGGATATTTCCTATAAAAAACAATTCTCTGTATTTAAACTGCTTCCACCTGGACTATTGAATCATGGGTATTTGAACTGTTGCATTATGGGTAGCTGAGTTGTTGCATTGTTGCTACATAAACAGTACAATACATATAAAATGACTTATTTTCACTGGGTTTAAATTTCGCTGATTTACCATTTCGGGCATATTCAGTGGGGTTTAAATTCACGGTTTTATCATTTAGATAATGTGTTCTATGCTCAATTTTACATATTCACTGTGTTTTAATTTAGTGCATTTTCCAGTCAGCAAAATAAGCAAAATTAAAACCCAGTGAATAATTAATCCTTTTACAGTACTCACAATGTTATGCTCTGCTTCTAGGTATGTATGAGTTCCTCCTGGAAAATCTAATCTACAAAAAAAGTGATATCAGAGCGATAGCTTTCACATATTTGAATAAATATATAATCAGAAATTAACAGACACATTTGAGGACACAAAATTATATCTTGTCTTCACATCAACTTTGAACAGAATCTGTCAAACCATGTCCGAGAAATGGTTAGAGACACGTAAAAATAAAAATACAACTTTGAAGCAAATTGATGCAGACATATTTCACAGAAATGACGTCAGACGGACGCAAAAATTCACCAACAGAATTCAGAATATGACCTAAATATAATATATATACATATGATATTCAATTAGAAATCAATTATGTTAATAAATGTAATACCTGATGATGTCATTGCCTCCTGAGCTGTACTTTATCAATGCTATTGCACTGTACATGGAGGTAACTTCCTATGAAGAGGAAAGAGTTATTTTGTTAGGTAGATTTATCTAAACTAGTATGCATAATCAATGGGTCTGTACCTCCTCCTATGTGTGCCACACAATGGGGTTCGTTCCTCCTCCTATGTGTGCCACACAATGGGGTTCGTTCCTCCTCCTATGTGTGCCACCAAACGAGGTCCGTTCACCATCCAATGTGTGCCACTCAATAGGGGTTAAACCGTTAACCCATCCATATGTGCCACCCAATTGGGTTGTACCGTTAATCCTCCCATGTGTACCACTCAAGGAGGTTGGACCGTTAGTCCTCCCATGTGTGCCCCCCATTTGTCACATGGCATACATTTTACAACTTCTGATAGGTCTATTTTACCAACAAGTTATATTTTAAGCCAGTCTATCTCAACCCATGTACACTAAATTGTATACCATGAACAATCATAATAAATTAGACACGTCTTCATTATGAATATTAATATTAATGAACATGTTCTATATTTGAATGTTCCTCGATATGGTCAGGTCTTGTGACAAATTTGTTTATAACAGGGTATCATCAAAGAGTATGAATTTTGACATTTTTTAATTTGGGGTATCATTTCTGACCAAAAAAAATTTGGATCTTGATTACAAAGTATTGTGATTACAAATCCACATCAAGGCATTCTGTGCTACTACCGTAAAAACCCGCAAATAAGCGCCACCCTCAATTAAGAGCCACTCAGTGAAAATTTGTTACATTTGACCCTCCATTAAGAGCCACCAAGATTTGAGTGGTTTTGTCAATAAGAACCCAGAAATAAGCGCCAGCCGCCCGGTTGTTTACAATCAGGCAGACACAAGCTTGTCGTGCCTCACTTCCACCCTGCATTGTTTATTGCCCCACAGAAGGTGTGAGACAAATAAAGATTATCCCCATAGCTTGCCTGATGTCCAGTATAATTGAGAACGGAAGAATGACAGACGAAA